TGGCCTGGGTGGTGCTCAGGGTGTCCCCCAGCTGTGCCCAGGCCTGGTTGCATCGGTTGCACCTCTGCTGAAGGGACTTGGCTGAAGCCAGCACAGGCAGGGGCACGTGCCCACGTGATGCAGAACCTGGCAGCAGGCACCTGGCTGAGGGCCTCTCCTGTGTTCCTGGGCCCCTCTTTCCTGCTCTGTGTACTTCCTGACCACTTCCAGGGGTACATGCCAGTCAAATGTGCCTCCTGCCGCCAGGTCCGGCTGGGAGCCACTACGGGGGTGCGCTCACGGTGGGGTCCCCTGTCCCCGGAGTTTGCCTGCTTGTCCTGGCACCCTTGCCCTGCTCTTGACTGATGGCAGCCTGCGCTTGCCTGCCAGGCTCCCAGGTCTTACTGGAAGCCTGTGCACCCAGCTGGTGGGCTTTGAGGGGCAGCACACACACACACAGAAATACAGCATTCATGCGTTTCAGACTGGTAGAGGTTAAGTTTGACTGAACAAACCCAGACATGAACCTAAGGACTGAAAATCTAGCTGACCACTGAAAGACCTCAAGGGAGGACCAGCTGGAGAAGGCAGGGCCTGTGGGCAGAGCATGGCCGTCCATGGGAGCAGGGTCCTCTGGCACCAGGCCTGAGCTGCAGGCCAGGTCCAGATCGCTAAGGAGGTCTAAGCGGGACCCCAGTAGCCAGGTTGGCAGAGAGAGTGTTCATACCAAGACCATCTCCATCATGCAGGCTTGCCAGGGGCTTCTGACTCACTTGGGCAAGGCCCACTTGCCTTCCTGGAGGCAGAGGCTGGTCCAGTTTGCTGTTCTTCAAAGACGCCAGCTGCAAAGGGGGAGTGTCCTCCCCGTGCATATCTTCCCTGCCCTGTGTGTCGGACGGGTAACTCCTGACCACTGCCCAGGGTACCTCAAGGTGAAAGAGCTCCATGTCAGGGAGGGAGGCCCCTGGAGTCCAGCAGCACAGGCCCTGGCCCTGCACACAGGGTTGCTGACTAGCCAAGTAGAACTGTGGGAAGCAGCTCTGCTTCTCAGCCTCCAGGCTTGCTGGACCAGTCACGTTCTGATGCCACCAGCACCCACCACGTGGCTGAGGAGCAGCCTACGTCAGAGAGGAGCTGGGCCGCCCCATGGGCTTGAGCGGATCAGCTGCTCCTGCACTAGTGGTCCTCACAGCTGCTCGGTGTGCCATCCAGCAACCCGTGGTAGCACAACAGGTGTGGCTGTGCCAGCAACACGGAGGATGACAGGAGATGATGGGTAGGGCATGAAGTGGAGAACAGTGAGGAACAGGCCCTGGGATGGTGTGAGGAGCCTCCCTGCTCTTCCCCCGGGTGCTCCCTGCCCGAGTGCCAGTCCTGGAGATCCCAGGTGGAGGAAGTGAAGCTTGGCAGTGTGGGGCCGCTGCAGGCTGTGAGCCAGGTGAGGGTACCCAGTTCCCACTGAGCCACTGTGCCTCGCTCTTAATTAGGAGAACATCTAATCCCCCATGCATTTCAGAGATGACTATGAGCCTGGCTAGGACTGTGGGGGGCTCTGGCAGGAATCCTGTAACACGCAGCGCTCTGAAGCCCCCTGCAGCTCCTACAGGGCTCCCCTGGCACCTGGGCAGACAGGTGGAGGTGGGTTGAGGTTTGCAGAAGACAAGATACTGGTCTGGAAAGATGAGCTGGCCTCACTGGTCTTGGTTGGCCCCTCCCTGGTTCCCCCAACCCCTCCCAGCACCCTGGGCTGAAAACCTGTGAGGAGCCATGGCTCCCCTCTGTTGACGGGCTGTGGGCCCAGCGCACCCTGGCTGGCAGCAGAGTGTCTCAGAGCATGCCAGTCCCACCCACAGTGCCTGGGTCCTGGCCCTGCATGTGGGGCCGGCCCAGGAGCACCAGCCCCATTGGAGGAGGCACAGGCTGGCCCCGGCCTCGCTGACAAAGGCAAAATTTGGGAGATGCTAGCAGCAATGTGGACAAAAGCCAGGCCGCGGCGGCCTCATTGGGAAGGAGCAACCTGGCCGTCCTGGCTGAGATTCTGCAGGGTCCAGGAGAAAGTTGCAGACATGGAAATTCTCATGAACGCACGCATATAGGGCTGGCTTTGCTCAAGGATTTGTGGAGCTGTCATGTCGCAGGAGGCCAGGCAGGCCTATGTTCACCCGGGAGCCGCGCACGGTCATGGGGCGGGGAAGGGGGCATTCAGCCTGCTCGACTTGGTGTGGGCTCGTCTGCAACCCACTTTGTCCCCGCGTCCACCTCCCCAGGTGATAGTACGCTGCCCTCCAAGCTCAGCCCGTAGGTCCTTAGTCTCTGCCTAGGGCTCTCATGAGGGAGGGCTGGGGAGAGGGGCTGGCCAGATGCTTTAGGGAGCAGGAGTGGCCTAACTGCGGACGTGGTGGGGAGGGCTGCTCCCGCAGGCAGGGCTGGCCAAGTGGGTGCTACAGGAAGAACTGTGGCAATGCGATGGCTGCGAACAAGTGGTGGGGCGTCCCACACAGCAGGACACCACATGCAAGGCAGGAGCGCTGCTGTGTTCTTGGCTCTGCTGGGCAGGATCCTAGCTCTATGGGCTGCAGGTGCCCTGTCCTTGGGGGTCCCCTAGGAATACCACAGCAGGGCCCTGGGAAGTGGCCATGGGCTCAGGGGAATGAGTGAATGGGTGTCCTTCCTGCTGGGATTCCCACAGTGCCTGGAAGGTACGTGTGAGGCTAAGGCCAAGGCCAGCTGCCCAGAGCTGAAGTGGGCCTGAGCTGCAGAGTCACAAGGCCTGCATGTGGCGGGAAGGGGTCTCTGGGTGGGAGCCAAGCCACTCTCTCGCCTGTGCCAGACCTGTTGCCTAGCTTCTCACTGCCTGCTCTGCCACCAGGCAGCAGACCCCGGAATGGTGAGCTGTGATCAGCCCCAGGGGCCTTCCTGCACTCAGGACTATAGTGACCTCACCTCCTGGGGGCCCCCGCAGTGGGGAGAGCTTGAGATGGAAACAAAATGTGTCTTTATTTATGCTTTTAATTTGGATCCTGGCCCCGGCCCAGCGTTGTAATACGGTTAGCATCAGCCTGCGCTGGGTAAAAGTGCTCTGTTTCCCGGCAACTGGCCTCCACCCCTCTACTGTTCCCCCTCCCCGCCCCTTGAGACCCTGGTTCACTTGCCCTACTGGGCAGCAGCTCTGACCAGCCGCACAGGGCTCTCCCACCCACAGGGGTCCAGGGTGCTCCTTGGGGTCCTGCAGGGCCTAGGTGCTTCATGCCTGAGCCCTGTGCCTCCCTGCCAGGGCTCACGGGAAGCACTAGCTCTGCCTCAAGCAGGTCACGGTGCTCTCTCCTTGCCATACTGCCTGCCATGCTTTGTGCCGTCCCATGCTCCCAGGCCTGTGTGGGAAGCTGTGGGCCACTGACCCTCCAGCCTGTCACTCATGACGATGGCAGCCAGGGAAGCCTGTACGGACCTAGTAGTAGGCTATGTCACGTCCACCATGTCAGCTGTGTACCTTTGCCTGGGCTTCCCTGAGCCAGTTGGCTGGATGGCGGGTGACAACCTGTGTTTCTAGGCTGTGACTGTCTGCTTGGAGTCTGGGCCATGGCTAAGACAATCAATTGTAAGGGGAACAGGGTGACCAGAGACCAAGACTGGCTAAGTGAGATGGTCCCATGAGGTTGGGGTGATGTCCTGACCCAAACTGGGGTGTCCTGAGCTCTCCATGTTCCCTCCAGCCCCATTTCAAGCAGCCATGGCTCTAGTTTCTGGTACTGACAGGCTGCCAGCCTGCCTGGCTCCTGTTCCGCTTGTAAGCCTGGCCAGCTCATGTGGCTCTCAGCAGGGCCCAGGACCTCAGAGCCCCATTCCCAGGGTGGTTGCAAAGCCATATCCTCTTTGCTTCTAGAATCTGGCTCTGCTAGGCCTTCATCTCTGCCCTTGACAGGAGAGGACAGTGGGGTCCTCTCAAATCCTGGCTGCTCATCCATTCCTGTACCTTACTGTACTGTACCATTACCATACCGTGCCTTACCATACCATTGCCATACCGTACCATACTGTACCGTTACCATACTGCACCTTACCATACCATACCGTACTGTACTGTTACCATACTGCACCTTACCATACCATTGCCATACCATACCGTACTGTACCGTTACCATACTGCACCTTACCATACCATTGCCATACCATACTGTACTGTACCGTTACCATACCGTACTGTACCATACCGCACCTTACCATGTACCTTGCCACACCATGCCATACCATACCTTACCATACCGTACTATACCATACGATACCATTTCATACTGTACCATACCATACCGTACCACACCATACCATACTGTACCATACCTCAGTCACCCAGAAACCCCACACCTAGCCAGCAGCCTCCTTCCCACAGAGGCATGTAGTCACAATGGCTTCCTGACCCCACAGAACCTTGAGGAACAATGCCCCTTTTGAGCAGTGGTGGCGAGGAGAAAGAGGGTGCACAGGTGGCCAGAAGGGCTCACTATGGTGCTTGCATCTGACATGGACACTGGGCAGGGGAACACGTTGCGGATAGCGGCGTAGCAGGCCCCCCCACAGGGCAGGAGGATCATGCCATGGTCAGTGCTGTGATGATAGGAGGAGGACAGGCCTGTGTCCTGGGCCAGCTGGAAGGGCCTCTGGACAGGCAAAGCGGGACTGTTCTCCCATGCCTCTGGAAGGGCAAAGTGAAGGCATGGAAAACCATCCAGTTTCTCTACCCAAAGGAGTCCCTGAGAACAGCACCTGGTGGTAGTACTGGTTGGGGTTCTGCGGGAAGACACGAACAAGCATAGCTGCCCCTCTCTGGGCAGCAGCTAAAGGGGGTCATGAGAGCGAAAAGCAATCTCCTCTGGCATACAGTGGGAAGCAGAGTCCAAACAAGGGGGCTGTGCTCCCAGGCGTGATGGGGATGCCCTGCTCTCCCTGCCTAGGGCTGGGCCCAGTGGCCCCAAGTTCGCGAGAGCTGGCAGAACAAGCCTGCCCTGGTGCGAGTGGACACTCACTGTGACACATGGGTGATGGGGGCCAGCAGCGTCTCCCCTTCCAGGTCCAGGTCCTCGGCGAAGCTGTTGGTTCTCAGGAACTGGGGGGAGCTCACTTCTAGCAGCGTGGGGCTCTTCCTCACTGTGAGGGAAGCAGGGGAGTGTGCAGGTTAGGTCCCAGGCTTGCCAGTGTGCAGAGTAAATGCCCTCATCCTCTGACCATCTGGCCTGCAGGAGCCCCTGCCAGGTGGAGCTCGAGGCTGGAAGTTTTATCCTTGTCAGGCTCAAGGCCTCTCCCCAGGTTCACCCCTGGCATTGTGGTCAAGAATAACATACAAAGGACAGGGCTGGCAGGGGCCAAGATGTCCATAGCCACTGCACACTGGACATTGTATACTGCTGGGATGGCAAAGGTTCTGCATCCCCAGAGCACCCCCAGGACTTCTGGCTTGCCTGTTGTTCGGCTGCCTGAACCCCAAGGGAAGGAGACTACCCAGGAGCTGGCTTCTAGCCAGTGTTAGTCTCTTATCCTGGAGCTCAGGGACCAATTCCTGCGCATCTCACCCTCATCTCAGTATCGGCATTGGACCCTGACTTCTTCATTGAAAGTTCCTATTGCAAAAAAAGATTGAGTACTCCAGTCCATAGAGGCCACCTTTGCTGAGGGTCAGTGTTAGGGACCCAGTTCCTACCTGCAGTGTTCATTAGGGTGGCCCACGGCAGCAGGAGCGCTGGGTGTGCACATGCTGCACTCACATGCTCGCATCACAGTCCATGTGTTTCAGCCGTCTATCTCAGGGACACAGACTGTTGTTTCGAGCTGTCCTCCTCAAGACAACAGCCTGGGGGCTCATCTTTACTCCTAACAAGTGATGCTGCAAGCAGGGTTTGTGCATGCTGTAGCATGTAGCATGACCTTCCCAAGATAGCATTACCCCTCTCCGCCGCCGCCCTGCCCCACCCTGTCTGTGAGTTGCCTGCCCCCCATCTGCGCTGAGTGCCTCTTGTGAGTTCAATCTTGGATTGCCTATGTGTGTGCTTCACCCACTTTGCCTCCTGAGGGTGGTCACGTGAGGCTCAGTCCCTCCCTGGTCATCTTTGGTCTGTAACCTTAGTTATAGTATTTGCTTTTTACCATAGGCTGTGCTTTATTTTTTAAAGTAATGCATTTTTTCCAATGTGAAAAATGAAGGTTTTCCCACACAGAGTAATGTAGTTATTTTCTGCATGTATTCCTCTTACATATGTGTGCATGTTTCTCTGTGTGTGTGTGAAATTCAGTATATTTACCATTTATGCCTCTTGTGGGAAGCAACCAGCAATCTCTAAGTGAAACTGCAGAATATCCTGCACATCATTTCTCCAAAAAACCTTGAGCAAAATAAAATCAGGGGCTGGTGCCTACAGCTCAAGAGGCTAATCCTCCATCCTGTGTTGCCAGAATCCCATATGGGTGCTGGTTTGCTCCATTTTTGATCCCGCTCCCTGCCTGTGGCCTAGGATAGTCGTAGAGGAGGCCCAAGTGCTTGGGATTCTGTACCCGTGTGAGAGACTCAGAAGAAGCTTCTGGCTGCAGGCTTCAGATCAGCTCAGCTCAGCTTCTGGCTGTTGTAGCCATTTGGGGAGTGAACCAGCAGATGGAAGACTTTATCTGTCTGTAAATCTGCCTTTCCAATAAAAATAAGTAAATCTTAAGAAAACAGAAAATTCCTTAAAAGTGCACTACCCCTTGGAAGCTGAATCGATTGAAATAGAACACTGAGACTCCAAGCACCAGGAGCCAGGCTCTGCCGTTGGACTCTATGAGAAGCAAACGGTTCTGCTGGGTGACACGTCCTGTTAGTGCAAGGAGGAGCCAGCACCACCTCTCCTGCTTGGGCAGGTGCTTGCATTGAGTTGCCGAGGAGCATACGGAATCTGACAGTACTAGAGTGAACAGCCCATCTTCCAGCCGGATTACAGCTGAGCACATGAGAAGACCCCTACACCCCGCCAGCAGTCAGAGTGGAAATGCAAATGATGCCAGTGCACTCTTCATAGAAAAGGTGCACAGCAGTGTCTTATGCAGCTGTCCAAAGCCAGCACTAACTAAGACATCCCTCACGAGGAAGATGGATGAACAACCATGGTTCACCTATGGGTGGGGCATCCCCGAGCACTGGAAGGAAATGAACGAATGATTTATGCAAAATCATGAGTGAAGCCAATTTGCTGAGCACAGAAAGAAGTCAGATGCAAAACCCACTTCTCACATGTTCCTCTTGAAGAAAAGTCACTACTCTCTAATGGCTGCCTGTGGAAGGAGAGCAGGAGGACCAAGTATTCCCAGCTACAGGAGAGCATCTTGGCCTTGAAGCTTCTCTGTGTGACACTGGGGTGCAGACAGAAAAGCCCGGAGGCATCTCCCGGAAGAGTGAACTGCACTGGGAAGTTCCAGGAGCCTAGGAGAGAAGTAGATGGGGAGTAGGTTTTGCCCATCATCATAGCATGAGAAAGCGTCCAGAAGGCACGGGCACAGCCCTAGCGGCAGGCAGGCTGTTGCCTGGAGCTCAGCTCTGCCCAGGATTGCATGTGTCTGCCTGCTTCAGCACCATCGTATCATGGCTTGGAGGAAAGTACTTGGTATATCAAGTTCCCCATTTTCCTCCGGAAACACGGCCAATTCTTGGGTTTTTGCACTTCCACACAGATCTTCAGAGCATTTGGCCAAGATTCTTGCACAGATCTGAAGACTTTGGAGAGATGTAATTAAAATGTAGTTTTTAAAATCAGAAGGGGCCACTGCCATCTGCTCCATGCAAGTGGGACTGGGCTGTTCCTGCCCTGAGTTACAAATCAGAGTTGGCGCTTTTCTTCCTGCCCACAGTCAACACCGGGGCAGGCATTGACGGCTGTCAGGAGCTAGACTTCAGCTCCTTTGGGGCGTCATGGTGCTGCCCCTCCAGGCGAAGACTTGGGGTAGTTGCTCCACCCCAAGAGGTACCTTCCTGCCCCCTCCCCAGCAAAGGGAGCCAACACTATAGCTACAAAGTTGGAACTGCCACACAGTAGGCCTGGCTCAGTGGGCAGCTCACACACAGGCCTGCTGTGGGGGTGCCAGGTGTCTTGGGAAAGCAGCACTGGGACCCTGTGACAGCGGAGTCAGCTGTGCCCACGACAGCCCATTGTTGGACGCCTTCATTCCTTGGCTGCCTTTGCCTCATCAAGGCCAGAGTCTGGGCCCGAATTTTCAGGGCAGAACAAAACAATTTTGTTTTCTAGGAAAATGGGAGGTCTGGGCTGGGTGAATGCTGCCGCCGGCATGGTGACTACCCCAGCTGGGGCTGCCGGCTGCCAAGTCCCAGCCTCTGTCAGGGGAACCAGAATCAAAGTTGGTAAAACAGAGGCCTTCTTCACGTAGGCCTGCTCCATGTGGAGTGTTTTCATGTCAGTGCAAAAGACACAGAGAAAACCCTGGAAGGAAGCAGGTATCAGAATTTGAACTGGTGTCTGCCTAAATGAGTGACCTCAGATGTCTCAGGTCTTCCTTTGGTGCCTCTATCTTCACCTCTGAAGAACACTTTGTGAGTCAAGGACCCAGAATTCACAGGAGCCTTCTGGCTCTCTGTCTCCCCCACCAGCTGTCCCCCTTCCCATGCCATGGCAGAAGTGCCAGAATATGTTGGGGCACCCTTTGTCCCCAGTTGCCGTCAAGTATGGCCATGGATGGCTGTCCCTGCTGTGCGGACTGGCCAGGCCTGCTCAGCCCAGGTCAGCATCACGCACAAGTCCCTAACTCCACACATGGCCCAGTCCTCTCTCTGCCTTCTCCCCAAGGAGTGTGTGCCTCAGGGCCTAGCCCGTCCCTGTTAACTTCACTCAGCCACTCTCCCTGTGTCCTTTGCCCAGTTGGTGAGGATCCTGCCTAAACTCCCAGGTGTAACCCAAGCCTTCTCACTGGGCAGCTTTTCTAGGGCCATGGCAGCTGCCCCTCAGAACACTCAGCTTCTACCTCCTGCATCCCTCCAGGGCCTTGGTGCACGTTAACCTCTGAGCTGCCCCCATTCCCAACACACACTGCCCCAGGGATACACAGAAGCTGTCTCTGACCTTCCCAAGTAGATCCCCTTTTCTGGCCCCTCAAGGAATCTGCCCCCGCCACCCAGCCAGCAGATTCACTTAAGCTCTGCGGATCCGGCACTGGCGGACAGGCCCTCCCCAGGGCATCCCAACAGCTGCAGCCAGGCCCTGCGTGACATCGCTGAGCAGCAGCCCACAGCCTGTGCCAGTTGCCCGTGCCCGGCCCACAGACCTCAAGCCAGGGCAGCCCTGCCACCACCTGTGCTTCTGCTCAGAGACAAGAGGCAAGAGACAGGGGTAGCAAATGTCGAAGCCATTCCCACAACAGCTGCCAGGAACAAGGCAAGGCGCGGAGTGAGAATGTACACTGGTGCTGTTGGCGGCCAGCTCCGATTAGGGAAATACCTTGCTTGACGGACACCTGTTGTTTCCGCCCAACCAGCAGCCAGCCCAGCTTCTGGGAACAGATTCTTGGATCTTCCCAAGGGGCTCCTCTTTCCCCATGCATAGCATGCAGGATTTAACTGTCCATTGGATATTCCCAGAGGGGGCTGTACAGCATAGCCCAGGCCTGAGCATCATGTGCACATTGGCAATCCATGGGTGGCTCAAGTGCGAGCAGGAGCCCATCAGAACCCAGACACCACTCTTAGCTCTGGCAACTCCCATAGCCTCTGGATTTGCTGAGCCATGGAGGTGTGCCGGTGAGCATCTTGCTGCCATGAGAAAGTGGCTGCTGGAGGACATGGCCATCCCAAGGGACTGGCAGATCGAGGGAAGTGAGGGAGCAGGGGAGAGCCAGAAAGAGCAGTGTGCAAGCAAGTGAGCGAAATCCTCCCCGCCCTGGGGTCCAGCTGTGCTTGAAACAGCTGGGTCTAAGTGTGTGAGCCAAAAATCCTCCCTTTGTCCTAAAGCTAGTTTGGGTTGGGGTTCCACCATTTGTTACCAAGAGATTCCTCAGGAATGTGTGACAAACGTGGGGCTGGCGTGGGAGCGGGAGGAAAGGGCTCTGCAAGTCAGGGCCCCAGAGTGCCTGGGCGATACCTTGCTTTCCTGCCCTGGGCTTTGCAGGGTGGCAGGTGG